AAACTTGATATATGAAATAGAGACACACGAATACAAAAAAAAAATCAAAAACAAAGCCAGTGTTAGACAGACAGATAACAGGCAGAGAAATTATATATATATATATTTAATTTTAAATATGAACCTAATAGTTATGTAGAGTTGATTAATATATATATATATATATATATATATATATATATATATATTATATATTATTTTTAAATACAAACACAACACACACACACATATATATATATATAGTGGTTACAATTGACTGAAATTAGATGTAATGGATAATGCATAAAACAATTTTGAGAAAAACTATTTTGAGAAAAACAATTTAGTCGACAGATTTTGCCAATAATGCGTTGTCATTGGGAAACAATTTCATTTAAAAACAGTAAATTCTACATTATCGCCATGAAAGGCAATTTCTCTTAAACGTCTTGAAATAAATTCATTGATGCTTTGAATGTGTCGTCCTATATTTATTGCCACAGACATTACCACAGATATAGGCAGGTAAATAGCACCGTTAGATTGCACAAATGGCCAGCTAGAAACGCTATCATTGGGCACACTCAACACAAAACGCTATGTATTTTTGAGGTGTTTTTGAGTTCAAGGCGGGCATACGTACTGAGCATCTTTGAAAATGATCAATCACAGACAACTTTGTCGCTACAATTGAAAATCATTAACACAAACTCACGTACCATTTTTGGTCTCCATAAAGTTACAGGAAGTAGGGAGGAATGTCAGTGAGTTCATAGCGGCATTCACTGTCTCTTTCACAAGTTTTACATGGTGTAAAACTGTAATAATGAAACTATTCAATATTCATTGACCGAGCAGCCAGTACTACCGCCGGTTGACATTTGCAAAAAAACTCTTTCTCTTAAAACAATTTTTTCAGGAAAATACGTTTCTCAAGTTCGGTGTCCGTTATTGAGATTTCCAATACTGACTGGAGTTTCTTTCCTAACCTTTTAGTTAAAGTTTTATAGAAGGCCAAATACTTGATGTCTACCTATTTTCTTTTCGCGTTACATATCATAACCATTTTATGTGTAACTTCTGTCTAAATTTATTCAAAGTAGAGTGGTTTCTGTTAATCGATACAGCTTTTTGTTGGTGATTCTGTAGCGCCAGTCTATAACTTTCGTCAATACCCACCTTGATTATGGAAAGGAAAATCCAGCTATATATATATATATATATATATATATATATATATATATATATATATATATATATCTTCCCTTTGCTAAATCTCCCGCCCCATCTACGCCATCTACATATATATATATATATATATATATATATATGTATGTATGTATAATGGACTCTCCCGCCCGTTTCGACGTATGAGGATTTGACAGCTTATTGATTCAGTTATGAAAGTTTGTGCGATAATCTTAAGTGATATTTAGAACCCGCTAGGGATTTACAAAGGGGGGAACATATGGAGCAAGTGTGAGGATTGTGAGATGAAATCATTGTTGCTCTCGCTTCTTGAAGATGATTCAGACAAGCAGATTGAAAATTGCTGAGTAATATATATATATTATGAAATGGATTACGTCCGACAATTATTTTAATATATTTTCTTTTTATAGTCCAAACTAATGTTTGTAAACCAACATATTTACCACGAACTTTCTTGAATGATCATATCGGCTCGAAGCGTATCTTAACATAAACAAATAACGATGCATTATGAAATGGGCAATTATATAAAATATACTTCAAAACCAAAATCGTTTAAGGCTTCCCTTTGAAAAAAAAAATGTTTATACGTGTTGTGGGGCTCTCCCCTTTTTTACATAAGATGAACTCGTCCAAAGTATACTTATACTGACAGAGAGAATACCTGCTTTTGAGATACGTTGAGATACGTGAAGATACGTTGAGATACATGAAGATAAGTTGAGACAGATTGAGAGATCCAGAGACAAACAAGGGTCCATTTTATATATAGATATTAAACAAGATATATATATATATATATATATAGAGAGAGAGAGAGAAAGAAATGATTACGGTTTTACTTGCAGAGACTTCTACATATACTTTCCACTAACCGGCATTCCTGGACTACTAATCTTCACTTCAAGTCTGTATTCTTGCGTTTAATATACTTATTTTTCTATCTCAATTACTGGCGTTGTTTTTTTATTTGTGCAGGATTCCATTCACGGAATCCACAACAATACGTTATTTTTATAGATGCAATTATTTAAGTAAATGCCCTATTTATAATAAACTGTATTAATTACATTTACCATCCTGAATTTCCGAGAAGTTTAGTAGAAAATATGTCTTCTTACAGAAATCGAATCTGAATTCGACATGCAACCGTCATTTGATCTGACGTGCTTTACTATTTAGGTACAGAGGAAGTGCCTGGTTAGAATGTCAATTTCATAAAGCGTGTTGCTATTTCTTTAACTTTAAATACGCTTCTAGCAGATATGAACGTTCGAGAAAAATCGTGGTAAATTTGTTGTTTAAAAACATTAATTTGACTTTGCATTAGTTTGTTGCATGTATGTATTTATATAATGTTTTCATTTGTCAAAACACGCTCAAAATATTCTGTCCATGTCCATAGTTGATATTACTGAGTGTTATTTTTTATTTTTTATTAATAAAGCTTTTTATTAATGAGCCTTTTTTGCATGTAGATGATGCCATAATATTCCTCAGATAAAAAGAACAATAAAACAAATTTTAAATATTTTATCATCCCCCCCCAAAAAAAATTACATCACGAGAAAGTGTATAAAAATCACCTTGTCTCTCGCATACAATGAAATGTGCATGAAAGAAGGATTGCTACCTAAATACACAAATACACACACACACACACACACACACACACACACACACACACACATATATATATATATACAACACATGTATATTAAAAAGAAGAAGGGGGGGTGCCGCAAACGTTTTTTTTTTAGTTGTAATGTGGATTTATTGAGAAAAAATATATACATAATTTCGACACGTGTTTCTGGTCTGGTCTCGCAACCGTCTTCATAAAGTATTTTTACATATTATTAAAAATAATTAATTTTTCTTCATGTTCAATGTGGAATATTCTCGATATGAGACATTCTGTTTGTGTTGGCAATCCGTATTTTTTCTCAATAAATCCACATTACAACCAAAAACGTTTGCTCTTCTTTTTAATATATATATATATATATATATATAATATATATAAATGTTCTCAAGGTCTTACCATTTACCTCTGTCAAAAGTAAATCACGTCTTGAAATTGTAGTTGATTGGGGCAGGAAATGACTGGTAAACTTTGATGCTTCCTAAATAAAACTGCTCTTATTTACCTACCGCGGTGAAAGATCCCTGCCTCCTATCAACATGGTTGATGTTCAACTTCAGGAGATCGTTCTGCGCCTTATTAATCTCACGTTTTCCACTGACCTAAGGTGGAACAACTACATTCAATCAAATAGCTTCATCTACCGGAAAGAAAGGAAATTTGGTTATCTGTGTCGCACCAGAAGGTTCTTCTTGTCTGAGTCCATTCTTCGATTCTACAAATCTTGTCCTTGCAAGTCCTTGCACTGAATACTGTATCACCCGCTGTATATCTCGAGTTTCTCGACAAAATACAAAGACGGATATGCAATGTGATAGGTCCTGACTTGGCGTCTCGACTCCAGTTACTTTCTCACAGACGTGATATGGCTTCCCTCTGACTTTTCTACAAATATTTTCATGGTAACCTATCTGACGAGCTTTTTTCACTGGTGCCGCAACTGCATGAATTTAAGTGAGCTAATAGGTGGCCCCACCCTTTCACTGTCGAAGAGTTAAATGTATTTATATTCCATTAGTCATAACTAAGTTCTACTCTGGCATCTTCTCACTTATGCGTTGGTATGTATGTGTCTGAGTTGAAACACAGACTAAAACAATAAGATTAATATCGTCAAATTGAAAAATAAAACTTCTTTTTCTATGTATTATGTCCCTTAAGAACGTGGGCGATTATGACTCTCCACAACCCCCTATCACTTTTAGCCAATAGCAGTGTCTCTTCCTTTGCTAAATCTCCCGCCACATCTACGCCATCTATTCACATAAGCTCATCAGATACGTGTTCTCTGCTTTCCGCTATTTCGTGTGCCCTCAATATGTCCCAAGAGAATTAAGTTCTACATTCACTACTTCCTCAGTATGTGTCCAAGAAAGGTCTGCCATCTCTTACTTAATCTAAGTATAAGTGTGCATTTTGTTGCCATTATCTTTAAAACTCTCCCCTCGCCACATAATCGCATCGTGCATTGAATTCTCAGTATCCTTCTGTAGAACCACATTCCTGTTGCCTCCAGGCTTCTCTTATTCTGTCGGGAGGTTTTCAAGTATCGACTGCCACACAAGGGTTTATTTTTTTTATAACTTTATATTATAGAACTAACTTCTTGATTTCTAACGTAATTTTCTTTCAGGCAGACGGATGAAAGATGAAGTGTGGTGAGTTAAATATAGCGAAGAATTCTAACAGAGATAAAGAAGGTAAACAATTGCAATAGCAGGCGCAACACCAAATAAATAAGGCGAATTAGAATAATAAATAGAGAAATAAAAAATTAATTCATTTGTTTTTTCAACTTATACACCATTTGATAGTTATTTAAAGCCGGGAAAATGTTTTTAGATTGTAAGAGTTAATACTGATTTAGTTATACGAATCTTAATAATTAACCCATAGCTGGGGGGAGGCGAGATGGATTTGTCCGTTTCCCAATGCTCTTTTGCGCATAAGTGAAAATAACGAAACCGAGAGACATTAGAACTCTGCTCTCTGATTAACAATTTCGAGCCATTATTCATTACACCACCCTCACATCCAAGATTACATTACCTCGTATTACCAAAAGGTCACCTATCTAGGTAATGTCCAGGTTCGACGTTGCTTGACTTCGGTGATAGTGCAGAAACCGGTATTCCAACATGTTGTGGCCATAAGCGCGTCAAACAAAAAACACAAGTGAGAAGGCAAACGGTTCATAAGCCGTGCTATTGAAACAAGCTTATAACTGAAAAGAAAAAGAAGAAAAAAAGTGTCCAGAATAACATTTAAATGATTCATGAAGGGGATAGCAGCGAGACAATAGGTGGATGGAAACAGTGTAGTAAGAAAGAAAGAAAGAAAGAAAGAAAGAAAGAAAGAAAGAGAATGAATAGAAGAGAAAAAAAACAATGAAATGAGGAAAGGAAAAACACGAAGAAAAATGTCAAGTATAGTAAAATCGAAAATTCCATCATAAAGCATTTGAAAACCATTGCCCTAAAAAAACATCAACCCCTGTGAACTTTGAGAAAAAGAAATGTTAGTCATGAAAGATGTTATTTTAAACTGTATCATCATTGGTTCGGAAAACGGTCCATCCAATCACTGCATCCATTTTTGTCTTTTACTTTTGCACTTTTTCCCCTAAATGTTATCATAGAAAATCATTTAGTTCGGCCTCCTTGACGCACGTCATATTCTCTTTTTCTTTCCGCTTCAGCGGGTGTAATTGGTCGGAAAAAAAGTACCAATCGATATCTTTCCCATCTCTATGTTTCGATATTTACTTGTTTGGACAGTAAATAAACAGGTGAGCCCAAATTAACATATAAATTATCATCCATCTTTTCAAAGCCCTTATCGAAACGAGATGTTTGCTTATTGGACATTTGCCTTTTATTGGCAATATGAGATAATAAACGAAAAACAAGAAGAAACGAAAGCAATATAAAAAGACGTATGTTGAGGGTAAATAAAGAAGGAAATGTTTCGAATAAGCCGTTGAATACTCTATGTGTGGCGCTATTTTTGAAGATATATAGCTGAGATTTTGTATTCGGTTTCTATCAGGTGCTTCCCAAAAGCTAAGCAAAGTAGTAAGAAACAGGAAAACTTAATTAGAGTTTATTCTTTCAACTGTTTCCTCCATTCTCTTTCATCATAAAATGTACTGGAAAGTATACTCCTGTTATTTAGCCATGGTTTGAGGCAAGTATGTATATATATATATATATATATATATATATATATATATATATATATATATATATATATATAGTAACTATATACTCGTTTCGAAAAACCTTCAAATTTTTGATTTGCTAATAATCAAATCAATCACGAAGGAAAAAAATAAAAAGCTAGAAACATCTATCTATCTATCTATCTATCTATCTATCTATCACAGCCTTTATCGATCTATCAATCTATCACACCAGCTATCTATCTATCTATCTATCTATCTATCTATCTCTCAGAGCCTATATCGATGTAACTATCATTCTATCACATCTATCTATCTATCTATCTATCTATCTATCTATCACTTCTATTTGCTGTTTATTTCAAGAACGCCCGTAACGTTCGCAGTATATATTAATGGCAAAACCTTTTGGTTCACACTCTGGATTTGATAATTTGAAAGTAACATCAGTCTTCCTACATGACAGGAATCTAGTTCTACAGAAGGAAACTGAGAATAACATGAACTGAACACATGAGCAACGCTAACGTTTAAAGGAAAATGTTAAGATAAAGATACATACTGAGGAAAGAGGGCTAAAAAAATGAATACTCAAAAGGATATGTTGACGTCAAGATTGACAGAGGAAAGCAGCGAGTGTCTTTGTTTAAATGGTTTAAAAAAAGCCCTTACGAGAGATAACAAAAATAGAAACTTTACTAAGAGTTGCAAGGGACAGGAAGGTAAAAAGAATCGTGATCGCCCAATCTTGCAATGTTTTCTTTTTCTAAAAATATAATGTTTCTTGTTGTATATCTAGTGCTTTATTTTTGTTTTGTTTGACCAAATAATGATATCAAGTATCCAAAATCATTCAAAACAAAAAATTAACGCGTTTATTTATATTTCATTCGGTAATACATTTTAGTTTTACAAACCGTCTGTAACATTCTTGTCGCTTCAGTGTCCACCAAAATGTTCAGACGTGTACGTTTATTCCAGAGTTTTTGGGGGTTGTATTTTCAGATTTTAATTCCACTTGTTTAGACCTTTAGAACTGGGGTGCATCATGCTACGCCCACGGAGTAGAACCACGCTTATTGTCCCCTGCATACAAAACTGACTCGGAAAATTAGACACAGACAACATTTTTCCAAGATCTGCTAATTTTAAGTGTCAGTCAGGTGAAAAGTTGAATAATTACAAACATTAATAAAGAGTAAATGAATACATATATCCAAAACACATAATTAAAAAAATCAATTTAAAAATTTAAAATAACAGCGTCCGCACTCCTCTGCTACAGAATAACATAAAGGACGAAAAACCAAACATGCGAGAAAAAAAGGTCCATCCCGTTATAGATTTTCCTAAAATTGTTTTAGTTATAAACCTTTATATATATTTTTCTCATAGCTTTACACACACACACACACACACACACACACACACATATAGATATATATATATATATATATATATATATATATATATATATATATATATATATATATATATATATAGTGACTATTACGGCTCATAATGCAAGACTCTTGGTTAAATCGAATCGAGTTCTCTCAGTCAATGTGTATTTATCTAAAAAAAATACGGTGACATTCTCCTTCATCGGCTTAGTGGTAGAATCCACGACTGACGCCAATACAGTCGCGTTTCGATCCTAGCTATAGGCATCTGGACATCTAGCCACACTTATGAGATTTTATACAGCGAAACAGTTTGTCTGTGGATGACCGCTTGGGCATGCCAAGTGCTGTAAGCTCCGATGTGTGTGTGGTGTGATGGATGTCACGGTATTCTTAATCGGAGAGCCGAGTTAAAATTGTAGTTGGCTTCTTCATATTCATTTATGCGCAAATACCCTTTGAAAAGTTATGAGTCATTCATATATATATATATATATATATATATATATATATATATATATATATATATCCTTTGTTATAATCCTATTAACACAACATAGAATTCGAAATATGTTAAAACTGATTCACGAAAGACCGCTCACAGTCTCCCACTACAAACTGATGCCGTAAACAGTTTAAAAAATCCTCCGAATTTTAAAATGAAGTTTCCTTGGTGAAAATGGTCATTAAGTAAAGGTATCTTAATTTCAATTGTAAAGTATATATATATATATATATATAGAGGACAAAGTCCGACAATCATTTTAAGACATTTTTATGTTTATACATTCTTTTTATAGATACAAATATTTAAGTAAATAATCTTTTTATAATAAACATTATTAAACAACATTTACCGGCCTGAATGTCCGAGAAATTTTCATGGAAAATATTCGTCCTCCAACAGGATTCGAACCTGTATCCTATACGGAACCGTCATATAGCCGGTAAATGTTGTTTAATAGTGTTTATTATAAACAGAGCATTTACTTAAGTATTTGTATCTATAAAAAGAATGTATAAACATAAAAATGTCTTCATATATATATATATATATATATATATATATATTACGAATACTATTTCTGTCACTAAAGTAATTGATCTTTACCTTGAGCAATATTTATGCTTTCAGAAATACTATAGCTCCACAATTCTTATCGAAGGTTGATTCGGAGTTTCGTGATTTTTTTCGCCCGTCAGAATTAGTCTAAAAATCATTGTTTTAATTATAGAATTTACATTTTAATATTTTAGAAGCGCTTGTTTCTAGACGTTCACTTTCAAAGTTACATTTTTGTTGCACTTACGACTCCTAAATTTGCTCTAACAACAGAAAACCGAAATCACTGTTAAATAAAAAAATAGATGAAGATTAAAAAAAAACACACAAAGACATGGCCATATCAGCACGAAAGCTTTCCAAACGCGAAAGATGGCAGAGAAAGTGCGGAGAACGCATCTGAAGAAATCGTTTTATCAGATATAAATATATTAATCCCACAAATTCATTGAATTCATCCTCCAAGAGGTCACAAATCTAGCTCGCGTAGGCTTACGTCACGTGATGACGTCTTCTCCCAACACAGACCAGCGAGATGTTCGATCATGCTGTGCTAAATAATAGAGATAACGTCTTCTCACAACGTTAAGCAGCGATATCTTAGAACATGGTGTGTTAAATAAAAGATGCGACATCTTCTCAAAACCAGTGACATATTAGAACACGGTTTGTTAAATATAAGACATGACGTTTTCTCACAATCTTAACCAGCGAAGCCCTATCACATGGTGACTTCAATAAAAGCAACATCTTCTCACGCACTTAATGATTGAGATATTAGAACAAGGTCTGCTAAATATTAGAGATGACGTATTCTCACAACCTTAACCAGTGAGATCTTAGAACACGGCCAGCTAAATAACAGAGATGATATCTTCTCACAACATTAACAAGTAAAATCCTAAGAACATGGTCAGCTAATTAACAGAGATGACATCTTTTTTAACCTTAAACAGTGGGATCTTAGAACATCGTCAGCTAAGTAACAAAATGAAATCATCTCACATCTTTAACCAGTGAGACCTTAGAACATATTGAGCTAAATAAGAGAGATGCTGTCTTATCACAATCTTAACCAGCGAGATCCAAGAACATGGTGACTTCAATCAAAGAGACAACATCTTCCCACGATCTTAACCAGTGAGATCTTACGACAAGGTCTGGTAAATAAACGAGATTACATCTTCTCACAACATTAACAAGTAAAATCTTAGAACATGGTCAACTAATTAACAGAGATGACATCTTTTTTAACCTTAAATGGTGTGATCTCAGAACATGGTTACCTAAATAACAAAGATGAAATCATATCATATCTTTAATCAGTGACAACTTAGAACATAGTGAGCTGAATAAGAGAGATACAGTCTTCTCACAACCTTAACCAGCTAGATCTTAAATACAATGTGAGCTAAATAACAAAGATGAAGATACTCTTTCAAATATAACTCACAGGATAACATTACTATTAGTATATAGCAGTACTGACGTTCACACGTTCGTCACAACGATGAAAGCAGACTCTGTTCATTTTTTTGCCATTTCTTTTCGTATCAGACCTCAGAATCTATTCCGCATACCGACGTTGAAAACTTAAACATCTGTACTAAGATGACAGTAAAGATACTCACTGCATGGAACATAAACTGCTTTCGTAAAATAAGTAAAAAAACAAACAAAAAAAAACAATAAAACTTCTAAACTAATATTCTCCAGCATTCATAATCCTGTTAAATGTATATGGCATCTTATTTTTGTTTGTTTTTTTTTAATTTTTAAAATAATGTTATATAGAAGAGAATTCTACCCGAAG